CAGCGTAGCACCACGACTTCCCAAAGTGCCTTCGAGACTGCTCACGGAGCACCCCAGACGCCCCATGAATGCTCCCAAACGGCCGTCGAAAAGGCTCCGCGACGCAAACGTCGCGTCGATCCCGAAGGAAAGCGCGCGTTTAACGCGCCCGTCTTCGGCGTCTCCTCAGCAGCTTCCAAGACGGCCAAGAGCGCCCCCGAGATGACCCCAAAACCACCGAAACTGCCAAGAGACCGCCAAGACTGCCCGAGAGGACCACAAGCCGGCTCCAAGGGCCCCAACAGACGGCTCATGGGGGGCCCCAGAAGAGCCCCGACAGGCGCCGCAGAGGGGGCACGAGCCGGCACTTCCAGCCCCGAGAGGCCTCCGAGAGGCCACGACGGGGCCCCCCGGATGCCCCCAGAAGCCCCCAGACACTAATCCAAAAAAAGCTCGATCATTCCCTGTGCCTTCCCACGCGCCACGGCCACGGCCCCGCGCGCCTCGGGCCAGGAGGCCCTCGCAGACTGCCGAGAGGCCTCGCAGACGCCCCGAGAGGGCCCCGAGACGAACGCAGAGAAAGGCGCAAGAATAGCCCCAACCGACGGCAGGAAAAAACAACGGAGTACATTCGCAATACTGACCTCTGCCGTGCCCGCGACGGCCGGCGGCCCCAAAGACGGCTCCGAGATGGCCCAGGCAGCCTCCCAGGGGGGCCCGAAACGGCCAAAGAGGCGCGCAAAATGGCCCGACGGCGCCCCCCCGCACCGCCAGCGACCCCCGCGAAACTGCCCAGAAGCCTGGGGGCGCGCCCTGGACGCCAACAAGAGGCCCCAAAATGCCTCGCCCGTCAATGTCGCCCTTCTCCTGGGGATCGGTGGAATGGCGCGAACCGCTCGAACGAATGCGCCCGGCAATAAGACACGCGGCTCAAGTTGGCCAACTCCACGCGCGACTCGCCCTGTCGGCGGGGCCCCACTACGCGCGGCCCGATTCAAGGTAGGCAGCCCTGGCCCCAGCAAGGGATAGGACTCTGACTGGGCGCTGCGGCCCCTCTGCAGCCTCGGCTGCGGAGGGCAACTCCTGCAGATCGGGAACTCGGCGAAGTCCACCAGCCCTCCTCCGACGGAGAACCCTCTCAATATCGCCAGCCCGCTTTCGCGTTTGTCCAACCGCCCCAGTTCGCCCGCCCTGCCCCTCACCGACTGACCCCGCCCTCCGCGGCGGTTCTTCTGCTAGTTGGGCAAACTTTGCAAAATGCCCGACGCGCGTAGAACCTGGCAAGTCCCGCGGGGGCGGCGGGGCGGGCCCCCTCATCGGACTTGTCGAGCAAGGCTATGCGGCAACGCGCCTTCGGCAGGTGCAAGGTGGACCAGAGTTCTTCCTCCGTCGACAATCCGAGAAACTGCAATTTGCTTCCGCGCTGGCGCCCTGGGCGAACCTGGGGGGCGGGGCGGGCCCCCCGGCCCGCCGTGCCGCGCCGGGACATGCGTGAGAGCGATGGGCACCGACGTCGGGATTGGCCCGGCATTTTCTCTGATGAACTGTTCAAAAATTGCGCGCTGAATGCCGCCGCCGACCAGACGCGCCCGAGCCGTTGCTTGCAACTCCAATCGCACTGGACTACTGCCAGAATCCCACCAGCCCTCTGGGCGTCGGTGGTTTAGAGCGTTTCCTCTTCCACCCCTCCTTCTTCCCCTTCGGGGAGAGGTTTACTCCTCCCCCTACCCCCTCCCCACTGACCTGGACAGGGGGGGCCGCGATCGGTCAGAGCGTCCAAGATCGACCCCTGGGAGGGCTAAAATTCGACACCCCTCACGGGGATCGCGGCTCCTGAGGGGGGGGCTGAAATTTAGGGGCCCCCCTTCGTTGATCGATCCCCTCCAAGATGGCTCCGAGAGACGTCTTGGACCCCCTCTTGGGCCCTGCGCGCGGGTGGGCGGAGCGCAGCCAGCCCGCCCGCAAGGCCCAAGAGCCCACCAAAACGTTCGAAGACACTTCCAATACGCCACCAGGGAGGAGGAAAAGGCGGAGGAGGAGGAGGAGGAGGAGGAGGAGAGGGAGGAGGAGGAGAGGAGGAGGAGGAGAAGGCGGAGGAGAAGGAGGAAGAGGGGAGGAGAACAGCTGCCGATCATCGGCGCTCTTCGTTCGAGCGCCTGGTGTAGGATGGGCTGGCGGGGATGCGCGAAGCGTCAAGAATTGCTTCTGAATTGACACCAATAAACGGAAAGGAATCGGAATCAGACGGGAGAGAGCGGCGCGCGGCCCTCGCTGGTTCTGCTAGAAATATCCAACAAACACATGCGCCAATGCGCCTTCGAGCTCGCATGCGCTCGCCGCGCAAATTTCGGAACAGGGGTTGTCGGGCAGGCGCGTCATCTCCCGCCAACGGCCCACTTGACTTCTTCCTCCTCAATACAAAAAACAAGCGGCACAAACAGCCTCTCCAAAGGCGCGAGTCATTGATCGCGGCCTTATCGCGATCGCCACGAGAACGGGGCGGGCCCGTGGATGGCGGGGCCCCTGATCAGGCCGTCAGAATGCCCCGGCGATCTGGGCGTCGGCCGCACGGCCGCAGTCGCCTCGCGAAGGATCGACATCGCAGAGCCCCAGGGCGGCGCCGAGCTGCTAGCTCCAGCCAGTAGCGCGATTGCCCGCGAACCAGACTGGGCGCTTCGACGTCGCAGGGACAACGTGGCGCCGCGAAGGGGCGAGGGAGCTGGCCCACACACCCGCGCGTCGCACACTGGCGCCCTCTCCTACGCCTTGCCTGCTCAGCCGCCGCGCTCCGTTCGCTGATGCGCGGGCTGAGGCGGGCAGCGGTGGCAGGGCCATCGCGCCTAAGCTGGCGGACTCCCCCGGGCACTGGTGTCTCCCAGGCAGCGATCAGCGGGCATGGCTCGGAAAACCTCGGCTCGTGCCCGAAAGCAAAGCCAAGGGGCAGCTGGCCCTGCGATGCCTGGGCGGTCTAAGCGCCGCTGGAGCGCGGAGGCGCTGGGCCGAAAAGGGCCGCGGGAGCCGCGCGCGCGAGACTGCGGGCTCACGCGGGCGCCCCAGGGGGCCGCTTCATCAGGGCCGACAGATTCAATCGAAGGTGTAGTTTGACCACCTACCATCGCATAATCGCTCGCGCGGGCCCAACGTGGGGAGCGCCAGGCGCGTCTACAAGTCCCAACTTTCAAAGCCCGGGACATCCGTGGGCGCGACGCCCGAGACTGTCACATCCCCATCTCCGACCAGACTGATTGGGCCCCTCACAACAGCGAGCGCCGGGCCAAGATCTGACACGAGCCTGAGGTTGGGCCCCACGGGCCCTGCGCTCGCGCGCAGATGGACCCACGAAGCGGCGGCGCTCGCTCCTCGCGAGCGGAGCGCGCAGATGGGCCACCTCGGAGGCGAGGGGGCCGGCCTCGACGCCTGCCGTGGCGTCTTCTGCTCGTGCACCGCGGGCCTCTTGGCCGACGCATCCTCCGCTCCGCAAGCTGCCATTCCTGGGCCGCTGACCTGAGGCCTGCTTTCCTCGAGCAGCGCTCGGCGATGACTGCAGACAAGCTTGGATGGACTGAACGAAACCACCCCGTGGCCCGTGGGCGCGATTTGCTGCGGCTAGAGACAGCCACTCCTATATATAATAGATTCTTGGACGGACAAAATTTGTCACCTTTGGGGCCATTCGTTCGGGTCTGCTTGATGCTGGGGCTGCTGCACGGCGGCGGTGGACGCCGCGGTTCCAAGTGCCGCTGCTGTGCTCAATCTGCTTCGCCAGCCTCGCTGTAGCTTTGTGCTTGAACTCAGCTCTGGTTGGCATCAGCACTGCCCAGGCCAGGGGGAGGGGTCGAAGTCAACGGCGGGGGCCCCTGCGTCCTCGCGGGGCTAGGTCCCAGGCAACTCAGCAACGCCTTCTGCTGGCTGCCCCGCAACGTCTTGTTGCGCCCGCGGCGGCCGCTCGACCCTTGCCCCTCCCCCGAAGGTGACTTTCCTCTTCTGGGACAGCTCGGCGTGACGGTCTGCATGTTCCTTCCTGTGTTCGGCGGCTGTTTCTGGGATATCTTTGAACGACGCGGTGAGCAAGTCGCGTAGTGTCCGAAGCTGCTCAGCCTCACACTGCTTAAACATACTGCGGCCCCCCTCACTCGAAGCATCACTGGCGAGGTCGACCACATTCGCCAAGCTTGGTCTCAATCTCGGAGGTAGATTCCCGACCCAGCAGCTGATCCAAGCGAATGATGCTCTCTGGCGGCTCAGGAGGAACACGCGTGCCGCCACAAGGCGAGCTGCCTGTGACACCCCCTGCTCTGCCTCTCGTTCAGCTTGTACTGCATGCTCGACACGAGCGTCAACAGCTTGCATGTCCTTTCCATCTTGAGACGGTGACCGGGAATCCTTTATCAAATATTGCTCGCATGCGTATTCGCCGCCCCAAGGGTTTGATATTCTGTTTCTGAGAAGATATATGTTTCGGTCCCTACTTCTTGGGCAACAATGGCTCCAACAACAACTTGGCCTGAGTTCCTGGTGCATCTGAGCGATAGCCTGTAACTCCGCCAACTTCTTGGGTGGCAGGAAACAGACTCACGTAGGTTATCCACGGGCACCTTCGCTAGACTGCGGGACGCCTTCGGGGCACAGAAGCTCACGATAGTGAAGGCACGTGTCTGACTGTTCTGACTGCTTGAGGATGCGATTATAGATCCAGCCTAAACATGATGGGCAAACCGTATTGGGTTTCTGCTTCTTGCCGGATGTGCCATCAAGATTGGCAACAAGAGCAACCTCTCACCCCCAATCGCCAGGGCAGCATGAGCCAGGAAATGGAGGAGGAAATTGAGAAAGGGGAGGAAATGGAGGAGGATATGAGGAAGGAACAGGGGGAGAAACAGGAGGAGGAGCAGAAGGAAGAGGAGGAGGCGCCGGAAGAAAAAAACGAGGCGATGATGGATGTGGATGGGGACTTGGAGGAGGAGATGATGGAGGCGGAGGAGGAGGAAGAGAGAGAGCAAGATGATGAAGGAGGTGTCGGCCTTCTGGCCGCCCTCTCCCTGGTCGCTCCACTCGCCGGTGCCAGCCTGCTGCTTCTCGGAGCCCGCGTGCCGCCTGGCCCCCGCCAGCTTCTCGGCCCTCTTCTGCTCGTCCTCGTCCTGCCTTCTGGCCTCCGCCTCGAGCAGCCCCTGCTCCTTGTGGTCGAGGTCCTCGATCGAGAAGTTCCAAAACCTGACCGACGCCGCGCACGTCTTGGCGCTGTCCTTCTCGCAGGGGCGCGGTTTTTGGGGGGGGCCGCGGCGGGGAGGGGGGGCAACCCCAGGCGCGCAAGCCGATTCTAGGGGCGTCCCGTGGGCCCGCACCAAAGGTCACTCCAGCGAGAGGTCACTCTGACGTGCAGTCGAAGGGGGGTGGAAGAATGGTTGGGGTTGGGTGGGGGAGAAGCCAGCGGGGGAGGCGGAAAAACGACGACGACGACGATGAGGAGGACGAGGATGAGCGAGGAGGAAACTTAGCTGGACATGTCGCCCGGGAAGGGGACGGGAGGAGGAGGAGGAGGAGGAGGAGGAGGAGGAGGAGGAGGGCGACGAGTGAACACGAGCCCCTGGCGCACCTTCTGGGCGCTGCAGATACAAACGAGGCCTTGCCATCCTCCCTCCATCTTCCATCTTTGACACTCTGCTTCCCTCCATCTTCCCTCCGTTCCTGTCCCTCCGAATCTTCCCTCCATCTTCCCAATTTCCCCCTCTGCTTCCCTCCATCTTCCCTCTTTCCCCCTCTGCTTCCCTCCGTCTTCCCTCCATCTTCCCTTCATTCTTCTTCCCTCCGAATCCCTCCATCTCCCCTCCATTCCATTCCACCCCTTTTCCCTCGTTTCTCCTTTGCTCTCCTATCCCATCCCCCGCCCTCCTGCCTCCTCATCCTCTCCTGCCCCGTCCTCCCTCCTCATCCTCTTCAGCCCAATCCTCCGCTTTCCCTCCTCGTCCCCCATCCTCCGCCCCATCTTCCTATTGTCATGTCCGTCCATCCCCACACCCCTCCCCCATTCCTATCTTTCATCTCCTCCTCCTCCTCCTCCTCCTCCTCCTCCTTTTCCTTCCCCTTCTCTTCTGTCATTATCGTCCCTCCGAGTCATTGTCGCCGTGTCTTTTCTTCGTATTCACTCCCTTCCTGCTCATCACACCCATATGCTCCCTCCATGTCCCAAGGTTGTGGTTATCCTCCTCTTTCTCCGCCTCCTCCTCCTCCTCTTCGTCGTGACGGTAACCTCGTCATCATCATCGCATCATCATCATCATCATCATCATCATCATCATCAGCATCATCATCATCCTCCTCCTCCTCCTCCTCCTCCTCATCATCATCATCATCATCATCATCATCATCATCATCATCATCATCATCAGCATCATGATCGTCATCGTCATCGTCATCGTCATCATCATCATCATCATCATCATCATCATCATCATTATCATCATCATCATCATTAGTAGCAAAAACATATGCATCATGACGGGCAGCAGCATCATGAACAACAGCATATTCCTCAGCACCATCATCATCGTCATCAACATCGTCTTCATCATACTCGCCATCGTCGGCATCATCGTCATAATGATGCACAGCATCATCGTCATCAGCATCAACATCAACATCATCATAAACATCACTGTCACCAGCACCAGTGTCATCATCATCACCATTATCAGCAACAGCATCATCGCCGTCACCGTAAACATCGCAATCATCATCAGCATAGCTATCAGCAGCAGCATCATTATCAGCAGCAACATCCTCATCATCACCCATCATATATACCATCATCATCAACACCACCACCACTATCATCAACAATACCATCAACAACAGCATCACCGTCAACAGCCCCTACATCCGCAGCAGCATCACCATCATCAGCACCATCACCATCCACCATCATCATCATATTCATCACCACCACCACCATCATCATCAGCATCAGCAGCAGCATCATCATCATATTCCTCCTCATCGTCGTCGCCGCCACAATCGTCACCATCGCACTCATCACCACAAACAACATCAACAATAGCATGGCCATCATCAACCTCATCCCCAGCACCACCGTCATCATCGCCGTCATCATCGTCATCATCAGCCGCATCGCCATCGGCATCACCATCACCATCACCACGACCGTCATAGGCGCCAACGTCATGACCACCACCTCAGTCGTCATCATCCTGCGCCTGCTTGCCCATTTTCCCAGTTCTCCTGCAGCTGCAGCCTCTCCTCCTCCCCCACCTTCTCTCTCCGCCCGCTCTTCCCTCTTGCGTCCTCCCTCTCCTCCTGCTCCTTATCCTCCTCCTCCTCCTCCTGTTCATCGTCGTCCTCCTCCTCCTCGCCTTCCTCCTTCTGTTCTTCATATCTCTGCTCCTCCTCCACCTGATCCTCCTCCCCGTCCTCCTCCCCCTTCTCCTCCCCCTCGTCATACCCCCACCCCCATCATTGTTCCCAATTGCTCCTTCTCCTCTTCCTCCTCCTCATCATTCTCCTCCTCCTCCTCTTCCTCCTCCCCATCCTTCTCCTCCTCCCCCTCGTCCTCCTCTCTCCTCCTCAGTGTTCCCACTTGCTCCTCCTTCTCCTCCACCTCCTCCTCCTCCTCATCCTCCCCTCCTCCCCCCCTCCTCCTCCTCCTCCTCCTCCTCCTCCTCCTCCTCCTCTCCCTCCTCCTCCTTCGTTCCCCTCCCTTTTAGATCCATTTCCTCCTCCTCCTCCTCCTCCTCCTCCTCCTCCTCCTCCTCCTCCTCCTCCTCCTGGGCGACTCCTCGACCTCCTCTGTCTCCTCCCCACCCTCTCCTGCCTCCCCCCCGCCCCCTCTTCGTGCCGTCCTTCTTGCAAGGGCCCGCCCCGTCGTCGCCAGGCCCGTCCATCCAGAGCATGTTGTCGTCCGCCCAATAGCTCACGATGGGGGTCATGCCGTCCAGCAGCGCGTGGGTCAGCTCCTTATGTTCCTCCTCCTCCTTCTCCTCCTCCTCCTCTTTCTCCTCCCTCCCTCCTCCTTCCTCCCTCCTCCTTCCTTCTCCTCCTCTTCCTCCTCATCCTCCTCCTCTTCCGTCTCTTCCCTTCGCCTCCTGTTCCTCCTTCTCCAAATCCTTCCTCCTCATCTTCCTCCTGCCCCTCTGCCTCCTCCTCCTCCTCCACCCAATTTCCCTTCTCCTCCTCCTCCTCCATCCTCCTCAGCCTCCCCTCCTCCTCCTCCCCCTCGTTCTCCTCCTTTCCTTCCTCCCTCTTCCCAGGAGGAGGAGAGGAAGACCTTCCGCTCTTGAGCCAGAAACTGCGCTCGTCGAAATTGTCGGTGCTGGGCTGTGCTGGCCAGTGACAGGGGCAGCGATCAGGTTGCGCAGCTGCCTCTAGGCGGCGGATCATCGCTGGCACTGGTGGCTCTGGGCAGTGACTCGAGCATACTGCCTGGAGTCGGTCAAGATTGTCACGGTGGTCCATATGATGACCCAACCTTGGGCAATGCTGCCATCACGGGTGCGCAGAAGTCGGTAGCTGTGGCAACGGCATTGCTGGGGCTGGCGGCATCTCGACTTCCGCGAAAGACGCGGTCGCATGAGTCAATTGCGGTTTTGCCGGAGGATGCTATAACCCCTGGTCTGGGTGGCAGTCAGGGAGGTCGTTTGACGTTGGGACATGTCTGTTCATGTGGTGGCCGCTTCGGTCTCGAAACAAGCTGGTTCTAGTCAGCATGCTCAAGCGTAGGACACATGTGTGTGGCGTGGATTGTGTATGTTCGTGTTCATTTGCACCTTCCTCGTCCTCCTCGTCCTCCTCCTCCATCTTCTCCCTCCTCCCTGGAACCTCCAAGAGCTCGTAGACCCCGCCAGGTATTCCCAGAGCTTCCTGAAGCAACCCTCAAGATCTGCTTATCATTACCCTCCTTCCTTATCCTCCCTCCCTCCTCCTCCTCCTTCTCCTCCTCCACTTATCTCTGGGTGCCAACACCAACGGCTTTTGCCCAGGTGCTGTGTGCTCGATCCCCGGGTTTCTCGCCGCGAGAGGTCGCTCCAAGCACGACGTCGGAAAAAAAATCCCGCACCTTTGCGCCATTGTCTGCGCCAGCTCTCTCGAGCCCACGCCGACTTGTCTGGCCGTAGCGCCCCACAATGCTCCATCATCCTACTGTTCCTCCCCCCGCTCCCCCCTCCCCCGTCGTCCTCCCCATTGTTTCGCCGTCGACGGCGCCTCAGCACAAGTTGCAGCAAGGAAGCCAACACTTCAACATCAATACGACACCGTTACACCTGGCACGTTGAGGCGTGGAAGTGTGCCAGGGCTATGTTGTTCCCATCCTACTTGAGGACCACATCCCAGAAATAATTTCGAGCACCCGGAAAAGTGTCAAAAGAGTGTCAAAAAAGTGTCGGGCGAGTGTCCCCCAAGGCCCGACACGTGAAAACCCTTGAGATTCGGTACTTTTTCTGACGCTCGAAATTCTTTCTGGTGGTCAAGGCTAAAGTAGGCTGGAGCATCACAAATGCCAAGGTCTGCCTGCAAGGCTTCTGAGCTCTGACTGGGGGCCGCCCCTCCCTCCGCCGGCAGACTCCTGCACGCACCGCCCCTCCTTGCCGAGGCCACTTCTCCCGTGCCCGCTCGAGCATGGTGCACTTGCCGCATTGGCAGCTGACTCCTGAACCCCCCTTCCACGCGTGCCCGCTCGAGCATGGTGCACACTTCCCGCGTGGCAGCTGATTCCTGAACCCCCCTTCCGCGCGTGCCCGCTCGAGGATGGTGCACTTTCCGCGTGGCAGCTGCTGCTTGAAACCCTCATCTCACGCGCACCCGCTCGAGGACTGTGCACTTCCCGCATTCCTGGGCGCTGCTCTTAAGCGCCCCAGGGCATCCCAAGCCACGATCCGTTTGTGCAAACGACGGATGTGTGTCCCGAGCTTACGAGAAGGCCCATGCAGGCAACCACGGACACCACGCTGGCCTCGAAGACAGCCCTCGATGGCCCCAAGGCGGCCGAATATTGGTTCAAGACGGCCCATGA